ATATGGCTGGAAAAGTTTATGAAAATTTCTTTGAAAAATGTGAAGAATTCGGGAAAGCTTTTGGAGAATTTTGGAGAGCTTTTACATGTAGGAACTTCGTTCTCCTTTGGGCTTGCAATGTTGTGTATTTATAGAGGGAAGAGAGGATTTTAAACCAACATGGAAAGAATCAAGCCATTGACCATGGCCTTAAAACAAAAAATCAAAATTTGAAAAGTTTCCAAACTTCATGATCCCTTGCCATTTTTGTTTGATTCTTGCCCTTTTAGGATTTTTCATGAACCTAGACAATTTCTATGTATCTTGCATGAATCTTGGGCTTCATAATGGATCAAGTTAAGCCCAAATGCATTAGCCCATGTTTTTATTGTATTTTATCTAATTTATTTGATTTTAAATTAAATAAAATCAAGATAAATATAAATAAAAATCAAGGCCATGCAAAAATGGACTTAGAGGTCCTCTAATATATTATGGACATGTTTTAAGTCCAAAAAGTAGGCTCATTGGTCTAAAAATGCAATTTTTCTCAATTTGTACTTTTTGAATTTCTTCAAAATTCCCTAACTTGTGCAACTCATAACTTTCTCAATTTGCATCTTTTGAAGATGATCTTGTACTTTTTGTAAATCCCAAGATGTCCTCTACAATATCTATGTTTATCATTTTTGCTTTTGAAGATATTATCTTGATGTAAGTTTCCTTGACAAAAAGTGTCTTTTGTTGACTTTTAAAAATCACCTATAATGTATGAGATCATATCTTCCAAATGAAGCATCTTTTGGACTTCAAAATAAAAGAAAAGTTGTAGGTAATTGAATTTTCTTCAAAATGGGATTTGTTTAGGGAAAAGTTGATGATGCATGTGAAAGTTATGCCTGGTCAAAGTTTAGTTGACTTTTCCTAGGAAACCCTAATTTAGCAAATCTTGACTTTTGATGATCTGAGGACTTTCCTTGATGAATCATGATCAACCCTTTATCAAATGATGAATATCACTTCAAGATGTTTATGTTGACCAAAAATATTGAAGTTTGAGTGTATATTGACCATAATTGACTTTTGACCTAATACAGTTGATTTTCAGTCATCTGAGCAATTGGCTGAGCAAACTTGTGATGCAAGGCATGAAACTTGGCATGAGAATTATTGAGTACATATTAGGAACCATGTAAATAACTTGAGGCCTTTGAAACCCAAACTTCTTTGTGAAAAGGGAATCCCTAGTTGGAAGTCCATTGCTTAGGAGGATAATTTGTCTGGTCAATTCTTGGTCAACCTTGAGCATTTGAGGACATCTAGGAGTATGTTTTGAATAAAATGTGAGGGAAAATTTTGGGGTACAATAGCAGCTATAACAATCACCAATCTTATTGTTTCATGTCTAGCTATAGGGGCAAACACCTCAAAGTAATATAGCCCAGGTTTCTGAAGAAAACCTCTAGCCACTAGCCTTGCTTTATGCTTATCAGTTGATCCATCTGGCTTAAATTTTACCTTGAAAACCCATCTGAGACTGATGGTTTTCTTCTCGTTTGGAAGCTTAGCCAACTCCCAAGTATTGTTTCTTTCTACAGCCTCAAGTTCTTATTTCATGGCATTCAACCATACTTTCTTCTTGAGAGCTTCTTTAATACCCACTAGTTCAGAATCTACTAACATGGCACACTGAACGACTTCTCCTTCATAATCTACTTCAATTTTTTGCAACATGTCAAACTCTAAAAATCTTCTTGGAATTTGTCTGATCCTTTGTGGCCTCTGAACTTGTTCTGAATCTTCAACAGAACCTGGAACAACGTTAGCTTCTGAACTTAGAATAGAACCACTACCTTTAGAAGTATGATCACCTCCAGAAGCTTGTCTTCCATAACCAACGTCTTCAGAGTTTTCCCTTCCAAAAACATGGCCACCACCAGATTCTGGATCATCGTCAAAATCTGGATCAGAATCAGATTCACCATCTGACTCATCTTCAGAGTCTCCATAATCATCTTCTGACTCTGACTCTTCTTCAGAACTTTCAAGTTCTGACTCATCTCCAAAACCTTCTGAAGTATCTTCAAAAGTTACCTCTAGTGTTGGTACTACACCAGAAATAGATTGAGACTTGCTTCAATCCCATGCTTATGATTCTTTTACAATGATGTATCTGCTGACTTCAACTTTATTATTTTCTGGATAATAAAGCTTGTACGCACCTGTAATGTGGTACCCCACCAGTAACATCACTTTTCTTTTATCATCCAGCTTATGTCTTATAGCTTCTGGAACGTGTTTGTAACATACAAAACCAAACACTTTCAGATGGCTAACACTTTTACTTGTCTCCAATACACTTCTCTAAAGGAACAATTTATTTTAGCTTCTTCGTTGGAAACCTGTTAAGCACATATGTTGTGGTGGCAACAGCTTCTCCCCCACAAGGTGTGAGGAAGCTTCTTCTCTTTCAGCATGCTTCTCGTCATATCAAGCAAAGTACGATTTTTTGTTTCAACAAGACCATTGTGTTGAGGAGTATAAGGAGCAGTAACCTCGTGCCCAATTTCATTCTCCTCACAAATCTTCTGGAACTCTGTAGAGTTATACTCACCTTCATCATCGGTTCTGAGAATTTTCAACTTCTGAACACTTTGTTTCTCATCCTTCACCTTGAACTTCTGGAATTCAGTAAACACCTCATGCTTAAACTTGATGAGTGTTACCCACGTCATTCTTGTGAACTCATCCACAAAAGACACAAAATACTTGTTTCCTCTAAGTGAATCTGGAAATGGTCCATACACGTCATAATGCACTACTCCCAAAGCATGTTTTTCTCTTGGGGCTACTTCTGACACAAATGGCAATTCAGGTTGCTTGTCTTTCATGCATACCTCACATGACTTCTCAGGTTTCACAATCTTCAGAATGCCACACACGAACTTCTTGGAACTCAGATGCCCTAAACTTCTATAGTTCAGATGCCTCAACCTCTTGTGCCACAGGTTATTATCACCTTCAGCGTCTTCTGTACTAAGGCATTCTATTTCAGATGTCTCCACATTTACCTTGAATGACTTGTTGCTTCCCTGTTCGGATTTCATAATTAACTTCTGATTGGAATCATACAACTTCAAGAGATTGTTCTTCATAATAAATGAGAAACATTTCTTAATGAGCTGACTCACACTCATCAGATTGCTTTTAATTCCAGGAACATACCAAACATTCTTGATCAGAACAGTCTTCCCGTTCTTCACTTTAACTTTGACATTTCCCATACCTTCTGCATTAAGGTACATATCATCAACACATCTGATCTTTGTCCTCCTTCTGGAGTCAAAATCTATCAGCCATTGTTTGTTTCCAGCCATTGTCGTACTTCTCATTTCCTTCTCTTGTTTGACCAATAATCTTTAGTAAAATGGTCAAACTGCTTGCAACAGTAACATTGATCCTTTTTCTTGTCGTACTTATCATTTCCTTTCTGATGTTTCTTCTCATCAGAAGTGAAGGTTTCTGACTTCTGAGACCTACCGTGTCTTTTTTGCTTCTGGTCTTTCTTGACAAAAGAAGCCTTCAGAGCCTACTCAATTTTTCTTTTAGAAGTTCTTTCATTCAGACGCAACTCTTGCGTCTCTAGACTGCTTTGCAACTCTTCTATTCTCATGGTGTCCAGATCTTTAGAATGTTCAATTGCTACAACAATGTAATCAAATTAAGCGGTAAGAGATCTCAATATCTTCTCAATGATTACTTGTTCATAAAGGATTTCTCCATAATCTTTCATCTCATTAGCGATCAAAATCACTCTGGAGATGTACTCAGATACCTTCTTGTTATCCTTCATATTGAGATTCTCATACTGCTTTCGTAGAGACTGAAGCTTCACCTTCTTCACAGATGTGTCACCACTGTAACACCTAACCAGTATGTCCCATGTAGCCTACGCCGTCATCGAATCAACGATTTTCTCAAACATGTTCACATCCACACACTAATGAATATAGAACAACGCCTTATTATATTTCTTCCTTTTGTCTCTCTGCGCGTTTCTCTGTTCTTCCGTCGCATCCACTGCAACCGAAACGCAACATTCGGTAACAAGCTCAATAACATCTTGAGCACCGAACAACACGCGCATCTGAATCATCCAACGATTACAGTTCTTGCTATCGAACACTGAAAGTTTGGTGCCCAGGCTACCGTTTTCGTTCATCATCAACCTTGTGCGAGTCACTCAGATCTCACCAAACACAATGTTTCCCAATTCCACAGAATCAGAAAATGTGATCATGTTACGATTTCGTTCAAGATTCAACACGAATTCAAGAAATAAAATCAATCACACAACGTCTCACCGTTTCACTCGTGTTTCCCTATGGATCCGAATTAAAATTTTAGATACCAATTATTAGTACACAAGATAATGAAGACAAAAAGAATGAGAAAATATATTTTATTACTCTGCAAAATAACGACTACAAAAATGTAAAATGATTAAATTTAAAAAACAGTTATTACTGATCTATTTATATAAACAAATTAAAATCACACAGATAACATAATAAAATACTAAATTATCCTTCATATATATTTGGATAATTCTTTTATTCTGTTTCCATAAGGTAAAAACACTCTTCCCTAAGTTTTTTCGGTGGGTTTGTTTACATTAACCATGCCAGATTCGTACTGAGAGTTGTTTGACAAGTTTTACGCTAAGTGATAACCATATAGTGTACTAAATTACTAATCACACCACATTGATCTTTTGCACACAAATGATCTAAAAGAGGGAGAGACAATTATATGAAATCGACTTAAGTAATTGTGAATTTCATAAAATATATTAAATAGTTCTACATATATTTAGGATACCACTAAAACTCACACTGATTCAACCACGACATAAAAGTAAAAAAGACTCCACAAGTAACTATTTATTCATAATTTCACAAAGCAAATGAAACTAATCCTCATAGAAAACACACTCAATTCAAGCAAAACATCATCATTTTTCACATCCTCATCTCAGCCTCTGCTGCTTCAAGTTCTGCCCTGTACTTTCCATATATATCCTTATAAAACTTTCTAGTTCTAAACACCAAAATTAAAGAAACAAAACATCCTATTAAAGTTGATGCTGTAATTATAACAAAAGCCATTCTATAACACTCTACACCAACACATGTTAAGTCTTTTCCCTCTTGTCTCCTAAACCCCTTTGCCTCCAATTGTTTCAAAGCTTGTTTATCATATAAATAACCAGCCACTCTCACATTAAATATATAAGATCCCACAGGACTTGCCACGGCTCCAAAATTATACAAAGTTGAGTAATATTTCAATCCAAAAATTTCAGAAATAATCGCAAACATCAAAGGCCATTGAGCTCCAAAACAAAATCCAATAATCACCGAAGCAAAATAAAGAGAGTTAGAAACACCAAGAGCGATTAGAATATGACCAGCGCAAGAGAGAAGCATAACGAAAGTGAGTAGATATGGACGAGGGATTTCGTATTTTGTTAACAAGATCTCCGACATATAACCCGACGCAACTCGTCCTAGATAGTTCCATATACTCACCAACGACACGAAAGTTGTAGTACTTTTACTCGGATATCCCAAGGAATGACCAATTTGTCCCAAATTATCGATCGCCGTTAATGTTCCACCAACACCAAAAGTTGTTGCTAGGAAAAGAATCAACATGTCAATGCTAAACAAAGCTTGCAAAATTGTGTAATCTTCACCTCTATTCGGAGGTTTGAATATTGTCCTCAAGCAAGAAATTTCCTTATCCGAATTTGTTGATGCTTCAACTTGGACATGAGTGACGACAACTTTTAATCGAGAAATTGGACTATCATCCTTCAAGATGATGTTATTGGCTTTGAATTCTTCTCTGAATACCACAACAAGTGGAAGAAGGAGTAAGAAAATAACCACAACTCCATCACCTAAATACTCAATCCTTGAGAAAGTTAGCTTGTTTTGAACAATGATCAAAACCATGAGAAAACCAGCAAGACCAAGTGAAATATAAAGAAGATTGTAGAAAACTTTATGTTCTTTTTGTTGTATGTTTTCCAATTTCAGTATTCTAATAGTTGGAAGAAAAAGAAAAGAAATAGCAGCAGGAAGCCAAGCGATAAGCAAAATAAGAGATTGAGTATTATCATTATTGTCGCTATAATATAAAGTATGATAAATTTGTGTGATAATAGCACCACTTAAACCAACGTAACCTTTTAAAAGACCCAAAACACTACCACGAGTATTATGAAAATTCTTAACACAAGTAACTAAAGCACCAGTGTTAGCAAAAGTTTGAGAGTTTGCACCAATGCAAATGTAGACACACATTTGCCAGATTTTTGGTGTGTGGATTTTTTTAGTAACGGAAAGCCATATCATGAAGTAACCAAAGAAGTTCATGATGATACCGGTGGATAGAACAACCCAAGGTGGTGTGATTTCGTTGATTAGACCGGAGATAACACCAACGTTGGCGCCGAGGTCTTTGAAGAAACTAAGAAGGTTGAGTGTTGTTTGGTCGTAGGATAAAGAGGTTTTTATTTGGTTTGAGTAGAGACCGAACATGTAGGTTGCGCCTGCTACAGACATGATTAGTGATGATGCGAATAACATGAACCAACGACCTGTGAGAAGTTGGTGTGTGAAGATTCTTTTTCTTTTCCAAATACTAGTGTGGACACCATTGGTGGTGTGCTCTCTAGCTGCCATTTTGCTAGTACTCTGTTTTTTGACACTTTTTGTGGTTATAAGTGTTGTTAATGGGAGATTAAATTATGAAGGATGGTGTATATATAGGGACAAAATAGTGGATTTTATGGATAATACTTCTTTTGTAATTTTTTATTTAGTATAGAAAAAAAAGTTACATTTCTGTTTAATTTCTAAAAGTTGAATACAATAAGTGCTCTTCTAGGACAAACTAGTAGCGAGAGTCATCTGACTCCAACGGATGAAGAAGACCAAAAAGCATGGAGCACAAAGCGAGTGAAAGGAGTGGAAAATGGACACGAGAAAAATAGTCTATCTATCAATCAAGAATGATCGCCTATCACGTATAAGATGAAAAATAGTCTACCTATCAACCAAGAATGATCGCCTATCACGTATAAGATGATGGTCACATGAGAAACATCTATGGAGAGAGAAGAGTCCGCCAAACAAGGATTAGGTGTGGAGTTATAGATGCTTTTGGAGAATTGGAGATCGAAGAACACAAATTTGGAGACTATGAATATCCTGAGATTATATTTTTAGAGAAGGAAGATCGAAAAATTGTTGTGCCTGGAAGAAGGGAGTCACTATGAAGATAATGGGGAGAAGAATACGATACAAAGCCTTAGAAAATCATCTGAACCAAATGTGAGCAAGGAATGGAGTTCTGAGTATCATGGAACTAGGTCAGCAGGATTATCTTGTGACATTCACAAATGAGGAGGATCAATATGCACCTTTGATGGATGGTCGTTGGCTCATATATGATCACTACTTATCAGCGAGGAATATAGCTAACTTCTGTCCGGCTAGTGATGCCATAAAATAAGTTACAGTTTAGGTTCGTGTCTTAGGATTACCCATTGATTACTATGACGCTAGAGTCCTAATCTTCATTGGCAATTGCAAAGGTGCTACTGTCAAAGTGATTAGAAACACTATGAATAGGAAAATATGTAAATATGCAAGACTTTTTGCGCAAGTTGATCTAAAAAAACCCTTGTTAGCGATGTTTGCTATCAAGGGAAAGAATTACAAGATTGAGTATAAGGGGTTACACATACTCATGTTTGGACACTGCAATAAAGGTTGCGTTGACCAAACATGAGCAAAGGTTACAAGTGTTGTCGACGAAGCAAGTAGGCCAGTTAATGGTGGAAGTGAACATGGAGCCAAAGTTGTTAATGAGGATGGACCATGGATGGTGGTGCAAAAAATCAGGAGGTAAAGGAAATGGAAGGAAGTGGAAGCGAGAAATATGGAAAGCGAGGGTCTTGTAACTCCCTAAACCCCGAAATTTATATATAAAACATTACACGACAACTTAATGGGTCACTAACGACAATCATTTAACAATACATAATCATTTAGCAACATGTAGCGGAAAATTAAAACATCATACAACATTTTTCATCACATGCTTGACATAACTTAGGCTCATTGTGGCGGAATAATCACTAAAACACAGTATTTAATTACTCTTGTCATCGCATGCTCACCTTCACTTAGGGTATCATTGCATCTGAATAATAAATTGATAATGAAACATATCAACTTTCAACTTTAGTCTCATAAAACATAACTTTCATAAAGCAAATGAAACAGAGTTGTCATACTCAATTCTCAACAATCTCCAAATGATTCAAAAAATCAAACATTAATCCACAACAAAGTAAAATAACCCCCTTTAACGAAATAACTTCAAAACATAAATCAAACGCATCATCCTGATGTTATAGAATCAGAGCACGGAACTACTAAATAAAGCGACAACCAAAGGAAATAACTCTATGAGCTATCTTCCACTTACAGCAGCAAACTCTACTCCTGAGTATCTGCAAGATGTTCATGGTTGACAATATAAAAGCAAAAGGGATGAGAAACAGCATTCAATATAAATAGTGTAAAGAATGCTAAGGTAGATAAACATACAACAAACACACATTCATTAAGGGTATTCTACTGTTGTAGCACTCCTAGACTCAATTTCTCTACTTAGACGTAAATATTATCATATTATCTTTCTAACGCAACTGACGGCATCTCAAACGGACTTACGAAGCTCAAGATATACACGTAACAAGTTGATCAATACTATCTTGCGTTTTTCTGCGATTTCCTTATAGGAATTTCACTCCTAAGTTCATTTTTTTCAACTTAAACCTATCTCAAACATTCTCTAACATGTCCAAATAGTTTATTTTAAAAATCTATTATTATAGGTCAATTACCTACTATTATTTTACTCTAAACATATCAACCAACAACTAATTTCACCAATTAAACACTAGAAACAATACACATCAAAACAATCATTCTCACGTTCATTATCACAAAGCTCTAAAACTCAACCATGGTTGAAACTCATAATCATGTCATAACATAATTAGTTTCATATTAACTTACACAATTTTAATCACAACCACATCATAACAATAACAACAACAATTTATAGAACAAAATCATGGATCCCTAATGAGAGTAAGGACCTATCTTATCTACCCCATCATGCAATACACACATATTGAAAGCCTTTTCTCCCTCTTACCTTACTTTCCAACAAAGCAAGCTCTACAGCAATGGTGACTTTCTTCTACCTCAAGCCCTAGGTTGTCTTCTTTGCCTTTTTTTCTATTCCTTCAAATTCTACGTAAATGTAACCAACTCTCTCCCACTTTTCTCTTTTTAAAACCAACTCAAATTCTTTATTTTGGTTCTCTCTATTTCACCCTCACTTACTCCTTTAATTCCCACATTACCCTTTCTACCTTTATTTCTATTTTATTTTATTATTAATCTAATAACTTAATATTTCACCAAACACCACTATTTTCCCCTATTTTACTTTAATAATTAAAAATAACTATTAAATTAATTATCTCTATATATTCTCCACCACTCTATTTTATAATTAAAAAATAACTTTAAATATAATTATTCCACTAATTTTAATCATTCTACCAACTCACTCATATTCTCACTACATACAACCACATACCTCATACACATATAAAATCACCATTTATGTAATTACAGCATATACTACATACTAAATAATCAAATAAAACATAAATAATATGATTAAATAAATTAATCAAATTTCAGAGTGTTACAACTCTCCCCAACTTAAGAAATTTTCACCCTCGAAAATATGTGAGGAAAACTGAGTCGGATACAACTCTCTTATCTACTTCCCACGCTCCTAAGTCATGCTCCCACCAGCTGGTCCTCTCCAAACTACCTTCACCAAGGCAATCTCTTTACCACAGAGTTGCTTCACTTCTCAGTCCGCTATCTGTATGGTGATGCTTCAATAGTCAGGTTATCTCTCGCATACACATCATCACCTAGATCACATGATACGGATCCGAAATGTATCTCCTCAGCTGAGACACATGAAACACATCATAAAGATTAACAAGCGGCATCGGTAAAGAAATCTGATAGGCCACTTTTCCTATCCTTTTTAAGATCTTGTATGGACCAACAAAATGCAGTGGGAGTTGAAATTCTGCTATCAGATATGTGATGTCGAAGGAGATGTCACGATACAAATAAAAGGCTTAGACTTATAAAATAGAAAGAAGGTATTCTTCTTTAAAAGTTACAGTTGAATGAATAAGGAAGTAAGTCCTTATAAAGGCGCAACAGTGGGCTTAGGCTGAAAAACAAATATTCTAATCTTTTGAATATTTCCATGAAAACAGGCCAAGATATAATCCATAAGGATAATTCAAATAGAAAAATATTCCTCCACATTTTTCGCAGCCTATGAGTCACAAATCCTGGATTTTGGCACGCGTGAAAATAGGAAACGGAAAACTTAAACTGATGTGAGTTGCGTTCAACTCAGGAGGCAGATGTCAAGACATCTGCTTTGACATCATTCAAAACAGTTTGCTCCAAATGTCAAGACATTTAGAAAAATATTATCAAAGCATTGTTTTACCAAAATTGCTGCCAACAAACACTTACAGGAGCTTTCGAGACTTCAAGGTTCGACCAACACAAGTTACCAGTGCAACTCTCAAAAACTCGTGATCTCTCTCCTAGAACTCGAGTGCTTTCCTCATCTTACCAGTGTAACGCTTTCATCCTCTCTTGGATCACCTTGATCTTCTCAATCATCTGCTGAATAATCTAAAGTTTGAGCATAACACTCTTGTATGACTCATACCATCACAAAGAAGTCATACACCTTCTACCATACAATGCCTTGTACGGTGCCATTCCAATACTAAAATGAAAAATGTCGTTATAGGTAAACTCAATCAATGATAAGTAGCTATCCCAAGCACTTCCTTGTTCTATAACACAAGCCCTCAATAAATCTTCCAACGACTGGATGGTTTTTCCCATTTGACTGTTCGTCTGTGGATGATAAGCAGAACTCAACTTCAGCTTAGTACCAAAAGATGCATGCAAACTCTCCCAGAACTTTGATGTAAATATCTAATATCTATCTGAAACAGTACTCAAAGGAATACTATGCAGTTTCTCAATCTCATCAATATCCAATTCAGCTAGCTTCTGCAAAGAATAATTGATCCTCATCGGTATAAAATGAGCCTATTTGGTCAATCTATCCACACTCACCCAAATTGAATCACCACCCTTCAAAGTCTTCGGAAAACCTGTTACAAAATCAATGGAAATGATATCCCATTTCCATTCTAGAATACTCAATGGTTGCATCAGACTCAACGGTCTCTGATGTTCAATCTTTGACTTCTGACAAATCAGACATTCATCAACGAACTCGGTAACTTCCTTTTTCATTCCTTTCCACCAAAAAATCTTTTTCGAATCTTGATAAATTTTGGTCGCACCTGGATGGATACTCATCTTACCACGATTCCCTTTTTCAAGATTACTCTTCTTAAGTTCTGACACATCTGGAACATAAACTCTATCTCTGAATCTTATCACACCATTATTGTAAATCCTGAAGTCACCCCTTCATCTCGATTGATCAAGAATAACATTGGTCAACTTTA